AAGCGCTTGCGCCACACAGTCGCCTGGGAAAAAGCAGGTGGATGAGGGACCAAACGATAATCATGGCAACACAAGGTGGGCTGTCAAGTCTTACTGGACTCTTCACCTGTGTTCTTTTTGTGGAAACCAATGGCGAAAACACCTTCCAACAGCATCCGGCTACACAAAAATAGCAATAGAAAGACATTCGGGTCGCAAACAAAGAAGGCCCATAGAAAACTTGTCCTGCCCGTGCCTCTGCGCGCTTCTTCCCTAGAAGCGCTTTGGCTCCAGGCCCGCCTGCAAAAAGCAACTGGATGAGAAGGCAAACGACGCTCAACGCAAGCGAAGGTTGACTTGCCTTACAACATAGATCCTTCGCCTGTGTATTGATTTTGGTGAGAAGTCAATGGTAAAACATGCCCAAAGCTCCAAGCAAGAAAGAAGATATGCACATTGCACCGGAAAGACGGCTGAATCTGAAGTTAGGTGCTTGCAGACAAAAGAACGGAGCAAGCCTCGAGGCCTAGACTCGACTGTTTCTTCTGCACACAGAAAGCCACTGGCAAAACCAGGTCAAAGAAGCAACAACATGCAAACGTCGCCACCGCGCAGCGGTCTACCACGAAACAGGCCACCTGAACATTTTTCTCCCCTCAATGCGGCGTCTTGCTCACCGCTCAAAAAACGCCAAAAAAGGTCTCATGAGAGAGTCTCGTGCCACACTCACTGGTCAGATCCCAGCTTTGCACGCTTCTGGCACAGCGCATCCTCAGGCTCAGTCGAAGATCTGGCAGCATGCTTCTCAGGTGTCTCAAATTTGCCTGTCTTCGGAGCCTCAGCCGGGGCCTCTGCGTCACCCTGCTCAGGATGATGCGGGCCCTCCTTCGAAGGATCCTCCTGCGCCAACTCTGCTTGCAAGGTAGCTTGCTTGGAGCGGAGCCACGCGAGGTCTTGCTCCAAACCCTGGATCTCGACATTCACTGCCGATAGCTCCTGTTTGACATTGATCTCCTTCATCGGCTGCCTCACTTGCTGCAAAGGCTGGCTTTTCAGAACCACTGCGTCCATCTTATAAGCCATCTTGCAAGCTGGCTCTGGAAACGGCACACCATCAGCCAGCACCCAATGGTCAGCAAGTGGGCTGGTACGACTGGGGATGTAGGTCACATTGCCGATGTCCAGGGGCGTGTGCACAGAGATTGTGAACCTGCCCCCCCATAAAAGCAAAGTGCAACACAGGCTAGTTCATGAAAACGAAGTCCATAGACACTCCGCCTCGCCAAAATAAGACCTACTACACCGAGCAACTGATCCCGCTCGCCCAGGGTGGCGAGGAAAGAGAGAATCATCGCGTCATCGATGGAGCCGAAAAAAGCAGCGACACCCCTGCAACGCATCACGCTGTTTACCAGTGAAGGTCCTGAGAACTCAAAATTCACAAGGTGGTCTGCCCAACATTTCAAAACTAACCTTCTTGATTTAGGTAAGCCCAGCAAGGTGCAACTGATTTGCTTGACGATTGAAGCCCTCTTCTAACAGCAGGCCTCTTAGATGCCCGCCAACCCGCCCCCCTACCATGCAAGCTTTGCAATAAAGGCTCCGGGAGGTACACAAGTTTTTTGAAAACCAGCTTGTCAACACCTTCGGCGTCCGAGGTCATCATTTTCCACTTGGCGCTCTGCAAATCGACGTTCTGCTCCTCATCGCCAGTCTGCACCTTCTCAGTGCGCAGCTTCACTGAGAGGATGTCGAGTGAGCACTTGCAGCCGGAATGCCCATCCCCAAAGCTGCGAAGGTCCAGCGCCTTCATGGTAAATCCGCCGCCGCCAACTTGACTGACAAGGCCTTGTCGGAACGCCTGCTGGAAGTCATCGATGTGCAAGGCGAGTACCATAAAGCCATCCGATTTCCTCAGCATCATATTGATGTGCGAACACCACATTGGCCCAAGAGAGGCGAAGTGTTCTGGGAAGAATTTGAGCCATTTGCGTTTGCTGCATGACTCATTGAAGATCAAACTTCTGCACAACGACGTGTCTGTTAGGTTCAAATTGGTAAGAATGAACGGTCGTTGAAAGAACATATAGCTGTCATGGCTGAGGCTTAGTGACCTCTCCCCTATCTAAAAATTAGCGCGCACCCAGCGGCCAATTCGGAGGAGCACCCAGGGGGCGGGCAGAAGCTCGTGGAGTTTCGGCGCCGCTCAGCTGGAACTGAAGCTTGCGCCCTTCCCGCACCAACAAGTCACGAATGCTCCTGAGCATGCTCTCCCTGAAGATGGGGGGCATGGAGGCATGGCAAGGGTTCGAGGTCGTACTGGTGTGGACGAATAGCGAAATAGCCAGTCACAGCCATGGAGTCAAGAGCTTTCAGAAGGCTAAGGTCACACCGGGGAGTCGAGCAAAAATCTCACTATTGAAGCAAATCAACATGCTGGGCAAATTCACAAACATGCACGCACTGCTTCAAAAGCTGACCGGGCTTCTCGCCTTGCTTGTGTGCCCGTGGCGCGGCTCGCTGCTGCCCAAATGGCTAAAATGGTTTGCGGCGTGCAGCTCTGACTGGCATCACAAAGGTGGCGCTCCAGTCAGAAAAGTGGCCGACGTGTGCAGTATAGCAACCTTTTCGTCTGCAGCTTTCGGCGTTGCGCTCACAAGCTTGACATTGGAAAAAAGGGTCTGGCTCTGTCTAACCTTCGGATTTGTAAGAGTTGCGAGGCTAGCATTTTGTGGGTCCATTGGCTTCCCTCATGACACAGGTGTTGAAAGGGAACGAGTATCGAGACGTGTCCGAAGAAACAATGGTGCTGTCGAAAACTGTTGCGGGCCGCGCGCGGCATCACTCACTGTCGATCGGAGCTGATCGCCATCTCAGTCCAACCTGGGGCTTGGCTGGCTTTCTCAAGCGCCTGCATTTTCTTCGTTCTCTCTCAACTCACCTAAAAAATATGGCTTCGTACATCTCTGCATTATACATAGTTCGTAACATATGTATGTATAAGAGATGATCAATAAATATGGACAGCCGCCAATTAGACAACTACTGCTTGTCGGTGAGCTACTGCTGTCTGATTTGGCCAGCTAGGTCCTAAGGACCTAGACTCTCGTGATCACACATGAGCCTATGCAGCATGTTCCCAACTTGACGCAGCACTTCCCCCCAAAACAAAAGACAGGGGCAGTGCAAATATCAATCAAGCACACCACGCTGAACCCTGATCGCAAAAGCTCCCTCCGCTAAAGGCAGGGGGGCTGTAGCGAGCTCGAGGCCGGGATCGTGACCTGCTTCTGCTGGTACAAAACCACTGCGCTTGGCGAGATTGTGCCATTGTTCACCTTGACCTCCCACAGCACTGAACAGCAGCGCAACGTCGCTGTAGCTTTCACTAGCGTCGCAAGAATGGCAGCTTGAGCTTGGTCATGTGGCTCAAAGTGCGGGGCAGAAGCATGGGAAAGTGACCATTTCTTTCCATCCATCACCGCACCAAAGACCGTCAATGTGCTCTTGTCATTCACCATCTTTCCCAAGGTGGTCAACTTGTTGCTCCCTCCATCAACCACTTGCAAGGAAGGCTTCGGCGCCCACGAATGGGGCGAGGAAGCTGCTGCGTTCACAACAAGCTTCCCAGAGCCGCACCTCCACAACACCTGCTCTTTCTTGAAGACTTTGTTTGAATCGCACAAGCTCTTCAGGTGCAGGGTTGGGGTCTCGGTGTCGGTGGAGGCGAGTAGAGCGCAAGGAGGGTTCTCAAATTTCGCAAGCTGCTGCGTGTGCTGTAGCGCTTCTGGCTGTGGTGGCGCCGGCGCTGGCTTTGGTGCAGGCGCCGGCTTTGGCGCAGGCGGCGCCGGCTGTGGTGCAGGGGCCGGCTTTGGTGCCGGCTGAGCTGTGGGCTGTGGTGTGGGCGCCCCTGACGCTGGTGGAGGGGCTGGCAGCGCCGGGGCAGGTGTCGGCGCTGGTGGCATTGGCGCTGGCCCAGGGTTTGCTGCTGCGGCCTGCTTCTCGAAGAGTGCAGCAAGCGCGCCTTTGAACTTCTTCAGCGGAGAGTGCGCTTCCTTTGCTGCGCAGGATGCGTTGATTTGTGGAGGTTGCTACTTGGAACGCAGAGAGGGAAAACATGTGGAGCAAGGTTTTTCTGGGACATATGACCAGGCTAGTCAGGGATCAGTGGTGGCTACGCAGGGATCCTCATCAAGGAGTATTACTTGCTACGTAAAAAGGTGGCGCGCATATGGGGAAACAATTGTATGCCGATAGCTTCGTGTAAGTGGGAAGCATTTCCATTTTTTTGAAAACCGAGAAGATTGCCATGGGCGCCGAGGCGCATTGCCATCAGAACTGGGAGCATTGTGGTTGTACTCGTTGCCATACGAGATCACCAGCTCTCTCCCAGGGCCGATGCCATTTTGCGTTTTGGTCTCGCACGAGGGAGATGTACCCCTTGTTGGGGCCAAGCTCTGGACGAATGACCAGCTTGCAGTTTGGCGATCCACGGATGTTAACCCAATCATTCACATAGGCTAGCCCTCCCAAAAGCACGGCCCAAAGTGCTGGCTTGTCCTCTGAAACATCC